AACCGCTCCTTCTTCACTCCACTTGCAAATCTTTTGTGGCATGCAAAGGTGTGTGCACTCTCCAGACATAATTTATGGTTATGATCTTTCACAAAATTATGAACATGCCATTTTCCTATCTTTTCACATGTAAGACTGCCTTGTAATCTGTTTTCAAGAAAGGTTTGGGGGTTAAGAGAGTTACTTTACTCTTTTTTCCGTACCTTATACAAGAAAATCTTACCTCAATCCATTCCTCATGATTGTAAGAGCGATGACCACCAATTTTTATAACAACAAACCTTATATTTCCATTAATTAAACATCCACCATCAATATGCTCTTCACCGTCATCATCATCATTGGGACTCAAATTTAAGTCAATATAGAGTCCCATCACCACCTAATAAAACATATTGGAATGAGAATACACTTATAGGAGCAAACAAATCAAACTCACAAACCATATTAATATTTACTATAATAGAACTCCAAACAATTCAGAATGTTGGAAATTGAATTTTTATTTAAAACAATTCCAGTATAAAGATAGATTAGTGTAATAATTGGTCATTTCCATGGTTCCATTTTCATTAGGAACTATTCCAGTATAAAGAAGTTTTATATATGTTATGGTTCCATTTGTAGAAATAAAATAAGAAAACTATTCCTAGTAATTCACTTAGCTTTGACAACATAACTCAGAATATTTACTTGTGTCTACAAAATTCAAGTACTAACTGTTTGATTGCTAAGTTATGGTTCCAACATTACTGATCGAAAATTATCAGTTTTCTACTTTTTTTATTTTTGCAATGTAATTGTAGGCAACTCCTAATTAAAGATGTGTTGAGGCCCAAAAAATTCACGGTCGGGCCCGAATAAATTATCAGCCCAAAATGACATTCTATCAAGGAAAGGCGTAAAGCGGAGTACACAAAAACCCACTACATGCTAGTTGCAATCCACATGCCATGCTAAATAAATAATACAAATTTATAAATAAACCCAATTCTAGACATGTATTTATAAAAAAAAACTCAAGCACTATTTAAACATAGAAACACACCCAAAATCAACCTCAAAGTCAACTTTTTGGGTGTGTTTATAAATGAGTTTTGAGTGTGTGTAATGATGGGTTTTGGGTGTGTTTATATGTTTAAATAGTGCTTGGGTTTTTTTATAATTTCAACCCCTATTTTGGGTGTTTTAGTGAAACTCCCAATAAATAATTCGTCATGCTAGAATATATCGGCCCTGCAAATCCATGCTAATTATCCCATCAAGCATAATAAAAAGCATGCCAAGCGATGTGCCATGCCAAGCGACATGCTATGCCATGCTAAGCAGGAAATCATTATTACACACCCAACCACGCTACAAGCCTAAGTGGGCCCAAGCCACTCGAATGCCCGGGGCTTGCTTGAGTGGG